TATGAGGGAGGGGGCTACAGCTGGGATACAAAGTAAATAAACTGTAATTAATGTAAAAAATAAAAACTTAATTAAAAAAAAAAGATAAGGGAGGAAAAATATTGAAGAAAAGACCCAAGCAGACTGCCTCTAGGCTTCTCACAGACAAGTACACAGGCAACCAGGTGCCTGTGCACACACACACAAACACACACGTGCTATATGGAGCCACACTGACATGTACAAACATCACACATGTACCCATTCAAAAGACAGGTGAATAAATACTTCTGAGGGGACAAGAAATAATAATAATAAAAAAGAGACTTACTTCCTACCACTTGCAATTTCCTATAAATGAAATATAGTAGGTGTAACAATAAGTTCAGTTTCCTTGATGTTCAATAAAGCGAGTTTCACTTCTAGGAACTTTAGTACCAGCATTTACACAAGAAACCACTATTGAAGTAAAACCATCTATTGCCTAAAACAATCAGATATTTAGCTATCAGCTCACATTTTTATAGATGTTCAAAAGCAAATCTCTCTTGCTTAATAAATTCCAAATTCCATGCAGAATATCTGCAAGAAATAACTCCAAGCTGTGTCCCATTTATTTATGTGCTGAACGATGGTTGTTGGAAGCACAGAATTTTGGACATTAAAATGGGAAGAATGAATGATGCATAAATATTGACCTTCTATCTCAGTGCTTTCAAAATGCACACATTTTTCCTTGTCCAGCCACAAGGCAGGCTTCCTGCACAGCAATGACTTAGAACTTACTTTATAACTGTTCCTTTGGTGCCCCCTGCTGTGGTGAGCATGACTCTGGTGGTTAAACTGACTCGCAGATCATCTTGGTCCAAACCCAGCAATTCAGCACAATATTCCAATGACGGGGCAGATTTGTTCTTCAGATTGCAACCACCTAATGGAAACGTTTCGATGTGAAATTAATAAGCACTAGATAAATGAGATTTTCTAGGTTTATTTCTTAGGATCCTCTTTACTTGTGTAATATTATGGGATAGATGAGGCTTGTTTTTAACTTTTAAACCCAGCTCACTTTTTTCCATCCTTGTTGGACACACCTACTAGCAAGTTTAACAGGATACCTGGGGCAAATCCACCAGACACACAGTCCACATTTTCCATTACCTGCTGCCAACTTGAGGCAAAAACTATTGTGGAAAATTCCAGAGATAAACAATTCTTAAGATTTAACTTGTGCATTCTTCTAAACAGTGTGACAGAGTCTCTTGCCATCCTTCCAGGGCTATAATTCTTTTGCCTGACAAATCTACACTAAAATTATACAAAAGAGTGACCACCAGGAATCCATTAGTTTACTTAAATGTTTCTTTTTTTTCTTCTCTTTTTTTTTAATTTTTTCCTCGTTCATTTATTTTATTCACTTTACATCTTTGTAGCCCCTTCCCTCCCCCCCTCCCAGACTCATCCTCTCTCCCTTCGCCCTCCCCTTTTCAGGGGAGCTCCCTTTCCCATCCACCCCAGCTCATCAAGTTGCATCCTCCCCGCCCCCGTGGCCTGGCAAGGCATTCCCACCAGGGAACGTGATCTAAAAAGCTGGCATGTGAGTCTATGTCCAATGCAGAACCCACTTCCCTTACTAGAGGACCCACTTGAAGGCTAAGCTGTCCATCTGCTATATCTTTGTAGGAGGCCTAAGTCCAGTTCATGAATGGTCCTTGCTTGGTTGCTGCTTCAGTCTCAGCAAACCCCTCTAGTTCCTGGTTAGTTGGCTCTGTTGTTTTTCTTGTGGAGCTCCTGTCACTTCTGGGTCCTATTCTCTTTCCTCCCACTTTTCTACAAGACTCCCTAGGAATCTAGGAATTGACCAATTCTTGGCTGTGAGTCTCAGCATCTGTTTTGAGGTACTGCTGGGTTGAGTTCCTAAGAGGACAAGTCTGACAAAGAAACTGAGGGTGGGGACATCTTTGTGACAAGCTGGAGACCTAAGTCAGGGTAGGCTCCCGGGAAGATATGAGGGGGATTCAAGCAGTGACTCCTAGTAACAGAGGCCATAGAGACTGAAGAGGACATCTATAACTAGACTGTCTTCTAGTAAACGGCGGGGAACACCAACCCAACCACAAAACTTCAACCCCAAATTCACCCTGCCTACAGGATGTGCAGATATAAAGACCGATAGATAGAGCAGAGACTGAAGGAATGTCCAACCGAGGACTGGCCCAACCAAAGACCCGCCCTATCTGACAGTGCCAACTCCTGACACTATGAAGGATACTCTAGTAAGCTTGCAGAGTATCCTTTTTTTTTAAACTGGGTTTTTTACAAGAATGATGTAGGTCAACCTAACAAAACAACTTTGTTAATCTTGAAAAGGAAAAACTGTAAAAACAATATAGAGTGTTAATGTCAGTCACTCCCTAAAAACGTTCTCTCAGCATTTTTTTTTTACTATTATGTTTTTTTTTATTATGATATTGTTACTGTTATGACATGCTTCTGACATGGCATTTTTAAAACATAGGTATTATCCTAACAGGTATTTTCTATACATCTACTAAATAAAACACTTTTATGACATTGGGGAGCCTTACAAACATTCATTGGAAAATGAACTTTATATTACAATCTTTACAAAAGTACTGGGATTGTCACCATGACAATCTAAGGTTGAATTTTTTAGGAAGAAGGGGAAAAAGAACACCTCAGTTTTAATTAGCAGGAAATGATTTGGACCCATGAAAAGTCACAGAAAAAATAAAGGTCAATACAAAAAAGTTTAGCTATAAAAATAAAAATGATCTAATGTTTATCTTACCCCAGTCTCCCTGCATTCTGTTTATTTTTCCAGCAACAGAAAGAAAAAAATGTTGAGAAAGCCAGCACATGCTATGTCCCTTTGATCACTCAGCACCTTTCAGCTGGTGACATGATGTTTCAGATATTCTATGCAGGAGTATGTCCTTCCTCGGGGCAGTAATAAGAGACAGAAATGTCTCTTACCACCTCCAACTATTTTTCATTTCTAACACTCTCATGCACATCAACAGTTCTACACTTAAAATTACTTTTGTGTATTATTTAGACTCTCCCACAAGCTCCCTTCTTGTAATGATACTAAAATACAAATGAAATGTATGTTGCAATATAATTTCAAAGGAAATTTCCCAATTCCTCTTTTAAAAAACAAAGATTATTAATGCATATTCCAAGTACCTAATTTTGTTTTAGTGCATCTTCACGTCAACGAAGAGTAGTCTGTATCTATTTTGATTTATTCACTTACTAGCTGACAAATACCAGTATTCAAAATGTTTTGTAAATACTCATCTCATTGATTTCCCTTCACAACATGAGTCGGAGGCTATTATCTTTCTATAGCGAGGAAGCTAAGACATGGAACCAACAAGGTCAGACAAACGGATAGCACATGCTGCAGCAATTTGACTCTTGGTCATGTGCTCATCCAGTATGGTATGTTGTGTCTAACATTATTGACCTCCTGGTATCACAGGGCAATAGATCTGAAAGTCACTGAAGACTATCTGCTCACTCACAGATGACAAGGCTTAGTGGCCTGAAGGCAATGAGAGACAATTATGACAATCTCCTGAGCTAGTCAGACATGAGTAGAACCAGGCCCTCTTGTCTATGGCTTCATCAGTAGCCACACTCAGTACCATTGTGCAGGTACCATGTCTGAAACCTGAACGTGTCTCTGATCTTATCAATTTTATGTTTCAACTCTGATTATGAAAGATCTTAGGGACAACACATGCTGGAGAGGTTGTGGAGAAAGGGGAACCCTCCTCCACTGCTGGTGGGAATGTAAACTGATACAACCACTCTGGAAATCTATCTGGCACTTTCTAAGACAATTAGGAATAGTGCTTCCTCAAGACCCAGCTATACCACTGCTAGGTATATACCCAAAGTTTGCTCAAGTACACAAAAGGGATATTTGCTCAACCATGTTTATAGCAGCATTATTTGTAATAGCCAGAACCTGGAAACAACCCAGATGTCCATCAACGGAAGAATGGGTACAGAAATTGTGGTATTTTCACACAATGGAATACTACTCAGCAATCAAAAAGGAGGAAATCATGACATTTGCAGGCAAATGGTGGGATCTAGAAAAGATCATCCTGAGTGAAATATCCCAGAAGGAGAAAGACAAACACGGTATATACTCACTTATATAGACCTATAAGATATGATAAACATAATGAAATCTGTACACCTAAAAAAGATAATCAAGAGAGCGAACATGGGGTAAGATGATCAATCCTCGTTTAGAAAGACAGGTGGGATGCGCATTGAACATATGACAGGAGTCTACTGAGTGCATTTGAAAGACTCTAACTAGCAGTGTTTTCAAAGCAAAGACTCATGACCAAACCTTTGGCAGAGTACAGGGAATCATAAAAAAGAAGGGGAGTTAGTCTGATGAGGAAAGGATAGGAGCTCCACAAGGACCAAATATATCTGGGCACAGGGTCTTTTCTGAGACTGACATGCAACCAAGGACCATGTATGAATGTAACCTAGAACCTCTGCTCGGATGTAGCCTGTGGTAGCTCAGTAACCAATTGGTTTCCCATAGTGAGGGGAACAAGGACTATTTCTAACAGGAACTCAATGACTGGCTCTTTGGCCTCCCCACCCCCCCAAGGGAGGAGCAGTCCTGTTAGGCCACAGAGGAGAGCTTTGCAGCCGGTCCTGAAGATACCTGATAAAACAGGATCAGATGAATGGGGAGGAGGTCCCCCCTATCAGTGGACTTGGCAAGGGGCACGGTGGAGATGAGGGAGGGAGGGAGGGACTGGGAGGGAATGAGGGATCGGGACAAGGCTGGGATATAGAGTTAATAAAATGTAACTGATAAGAAAAAATAAAATAAAATAAATAAATAAATAAATAAATAAATAAATAAATAAATAAATAGATGAATAAATAAATAAATAAAATTCAAATCAGAAAAAAAAAAAGATCTTATACATACAAGACATACCCCCACAGTGCTTGGGATAAATGTGAACCCTCAAAACTGCTAAGCCAGGCTGGGTGTCATGGCAAATACCTGTAACCCCAGCACTCGAGAGGCTGGAAGATCACCTTGAGGCCAGCCTAGGCTATGTGAGACCTGTCTCCAAAAGGAGGAGGGGGATGTTGAAGAGATGAGTCAGTGAGTAAGAGCACTTTCTGCTCTTCCAGAGAAGACAGGTTCTCTCTCCAGCACCCACAAGGTGGCTCACAACCATCTATAATTCCAGTTCCATAAAAATAAAAAACTAAAACTTCAAATTTTAAAAAGAAGCAGGGATGTTAACAGAGAGAGAGAGAGAAAGGTGGAGGCAGAAGGGGAAATACTCCACACTGAGATAATTTGAACCCAACACATTGTTTTGTTTAAATGGTCTCTCCCTCTTTCCCTGGGGGCCCATTTCTTATGCATATACTATTACTAGGAACTGTACTTTTTAAAAGCACTTACGGATTATTTCCTTTTACAAATGAATATACTTGTGGGATCTGATCTCAAAGCTCATAGGATTGTATTAAATGATGCTTCAGACTCTTACCTCATCCATGCTGTAAATTTCTAGCAAAATGCATTAAGGCAGGGCTAGCCAATGTTTTACTCTAAGGGGACTAGTAGTAAATATTTTTGGTTTGATAGAAGCACAGCTTTGCCACTGTGGCATGAGCAGTGGCATAGACAATGGATGTTAGCTATGTTCCACTAACACTTTATTTACAAAAACAGGTGAGAGACCAATCTGTCAATGCTATAGTCAGGTGTCAAATTTGCAATTATATAAAAACTCTTTTATAGATGTTTATAATATTTATATAGAAATGGAAAAATTAAAACTGAAAAGTTTTCTTGGTTACATTTAAATATTTTTCGACTTCTATAAGAATGAAACTTTTATTTTTTTTCTCTCAAGTAGGATGGGCATCTGTATATTAAACTATCCCAAGTAAGTGATTCAAGTTTAGGTCTATAAAACAGAAAAAAAAAAAAACTTAAAAACATATTAACGGATAAGAGAATTATTCTGTTAACTATTAAAAGTATATTAGCTGGAAATTTTTTAAAGTATAAACCATATAACAGCTACCAATTTGTTTACAACACCGTAGCATCCTTCATCCTAGCATCAAAGTCACCATCTAACAAAAAATGTCCCAGAAATTTGTTATAATTTCAACAAACCTGCACACAAATGACCGAATATTCCCATGGCTAGGAGATGACAAACAGTACACCCGACTTTATACCTAATTAAGAAATTAAAGAAACAACCTGAAGTGCTTCCAGCTTCCTCAAAATCAATATTTCCGAGGTGCAGGACACCAGCTACGACTCGAAACAGATCAAGTTTTTCTTCGTCATCCAAACCAATTTTTTTCATGGCTGTGCACATCCTAATAAAATCTCCATGGTCATCTAATAGAGGATCTTTCAAGGAACCTGCCTTAACATACTATAAAACAAGAAGGTGTCAACTGGCTGATCTTTACGTGATTTGAGCAAACTAAACACTACAACAGCAGGTCTGTTAATGCAATATACAACATGCAAAAATAAAATCTGTCAACAGAAAAACTTAAGCATTTGAACACACTTAAAAACAGAATGGTATATAAAGAGTATGCAAGAGCTCTGTATTATTTCTTAAAACTTCATGTGAATTTACAATTCTTTCAATAAAAACTTCAATTAAGATGATGGAATAAGATGTTTTGTAGTTAAACTATGATGCTACCTCAAAAGCATTGTAAGTCTAGGATGTTAGATAAATATAGATTAGTGAAAAGGGAAAGAATGGTTGGCTGAGATGAGGCAACAGCCTCTGAATAAAAGCCAATGAAGTAGTAATGGATGTTTATCTGACTCTGTTATTCCACAATTTATACAATAAAAAAATGTTCCATGGTAGCCCATATAGGTTCCAGATGTATGCAATTTTAGTCAACAAAAAATAAATATGCATGCAAATACGCAAAATACAGGACAATTGAGAAGAACTGTAATAAAGAATTTAATGTGCCAATGAGCTGACAATGACATCAATGTAAACAGAAGCAAATCTAGTCACGGTTACGGCATCTCCGTGGCCTGACAAAATGTCCTGTAACTTTTCTACACTGTATGAGGCACGGTGAATTACTGCATATTAGGCTAACTCCAGGAATCCACACAACGGCTTTCTGGAGAAAACAAAACAATGAAGAGAAATTCTATGCTCTCTCCCAAAAGAATTTGCATCTCAAGTTTTCACACGTTAGGACCTAGAAAACTCAGACAGAGAGTGAAGAAAGTTAGGCCTGCAACACTGAACGAAGGAACAGAAAGAGAAGTTACTGGGCATGGAAAAAAACTGATCTAGGAATTTTCCAGAACTTGAGTATTAAAGCTAAAGTTAAAATAAAAAACCTCAGCATCAAAATTAATGAGCATTAAAGATGCCTGATGCTTCCGGGAGATGTTTTCTTCTCCCAGCATGTAACTGCTTCTCAAATCAACAGGCTGCTTGCTTTTCACAAGATGCTTTAAATGTCTGATCATGTGCCAGATTTCTGGAAAATGTCTAGAAAATGAAATTCTATTTTATTCTTCAAAAGAAGCAACGGCAACAATCACATGCAAAGTTTAAAGAAACGCTATCATGCAGAATTTTTAGTCTTGCAGCTGAGCATCTGCAGCATTTAAATACTGTTTTTAAATCAAATCTTTGTGAACATATTTGCCCCACAGAAGACTGAAAATACTGCATTCTCCTAAAATTTGCACACAGCAGAAAGACATCCAAACAAAATGAAGCAAGAGGCTTAAAATTAGTCAAAATGATCACCTCATCCTCCTGACAAAGAAGACATAGAGAGTAATTTAAATATGTTAATCCACTTTTCACCTGTATATCATACACATGCACATTCTCTTTCAGTGATGAAAAACTTCTGATAAAGCATCCTCACTCTAAAATAAGGAAAGATGGTGTTTTCCTGTCTGGCAGAGTGCGTGCTACTCTTTGGAGGCACAGCGCTGGCTTCTCTCCACTGCTTTTTTCAATGTTTTTACATTTTTTGTGTACTCCCTACAGGATCACTGCAATTGTCCTAGACATGTTTTGATTATCTTAATGGAGAGATTACAAATTATATATTTTGATGGTATCTTTAAAAAAAAAACAGTTTTTCAAGACATAGTAAATATTATAATAAATGTTAATATTGCTTCCAAATGTCATGGCAGTAACATAAGACTTACTCATAACTCAGATGTCCATGTCTAAAATAACATGCAATGTATCAAATAAGAATTAATTGCAGTTTCATGTGCCCATAATTTGAAATGATAATTTTGTTTCTCTTTCTATTCATTTATATTAATGTTATTTTACACATAGTTTACCTTACCCAGTCTGAGTAAAATCAAGACATTTGATTGGCAAGTACAGAACCATCAGAAAATTGCTAACAGTAAAGAGTTACTCAACTGACATCTTTTTAAAAATAATAAGCAAGATTAATTAGCACCAATATCTAATCATGATTTAGTTTTCATATCTTCAGTGTGTTGTTTAGACACAACTTATTATGTGAATTTTGAAAGTAAAAATTTATGAAAGTTTAAACATTTAATACTTTCAAAATAATAATTACATAATTCTTAGATTATTTAGTGAGACCAATATGTATAAAACTTCATAATATATTTCAGTTTTATGGTTGATACAGCAAAATTATCATATGTAGACAGCTTCTCACAAGAATGCTTAAGGTATTAACTATTCAACTCTTACTTAGGTACACAGTAAATTAAAGGGCGTACTTTACTCTTTCTACCAGGACATTCCTCAAAGGGCTCATGTGTGGGGGACTTGGTTCCCAATGCAGCCATATTCGGAGGAACGGCTCTGGGAAGTGCCTGCATCACGGGGACTCTGACCTCGTCGATAGCTCAGTCCACTTACGGGCACAAATGTGACGGCTCCCTGAACTGGTGACCTTTACCTTGTCTCTGACTTGCACCCTGTCTTTCCTTTCCTCCACCTCACCTCCCACTCACTTCCAGCCACCCACCGTGATGAGCAGCTTTACCCAACCACACACTCTCTACTGTGAATGCTGTCTCATATGGCCCAGAAACATGGGGACAACTGCACAAAATCGTGAGCAAAAACAAACCTTCCCTGCTTCAAGATGATTGGCTCATATATTGTGTCACAGGAACAGAAAGCTTACTAATACATATACTTAACCACAAATAATAATATCACAGAAAGTTGCTAAAACATGGGTTTGCCTAAGGCTGCGGGCTCGGAGCCACGCATCACTGGTACCAGAAAGGGTTCCACAGAAGATGGGCTTGGGCATAAAATATGATGATTCTTAAGCAATTTCGGTTTTTGTTTATGTATTTTTTTCATATATATATATATTAGTTTTCTTTTCTTTTTTTTTTTTTCAAGACAGAATTTCTCTGTAGCATTTCTGTGTAGCATTGGCTGTCCTGGGCTTGCTTTGTAAACCAGGCTGGCTTCAAACTCACAGAGATCCACCTGCCTCTGACTCCCTGAGTGCTGGGATTATAGGTGTGTGTCACCTTGCCTGGCTTCTTAAGCAAATTCATAGCATGGGAATTCAAAAACAGAGTATGAGGAAAGCAATGCATTTGAACCCAAGAAGAACCAGAGCCTGCTGCTCTACAAATGACAGAGGTTTACAGTGTCACCCTTCAAGAAAGACTCGTATCATAACGTAGTTTTAGAGCACAAACCTGAAAGTAATAAGTTACAAAAGAAAGGCATATCCTTCAGCAATATTTTTTACATTAAAGATTTTAATTTTAAGAAATCTACAATACCTCAGGACTTTTTCGGTTCTGTAAAATTTGTTTGTCAGTTTCTTTGTTAGCAAAGTATCTGGTGCAGCCTCGATTTAAATACTAAAACAAAGAATGAATGGTACAATTAACAAAGGATCCAAGGAGAACGAACACAAGTACAAAGTAGGTTCAAGTTCAGACTGGGCTACTTAATGAACCTCTGCTTATGCAAACAAAAACTGGAGAGCTGAGGGTAAAACTTAGTGACTCAGGATTAGCCTGGCATGCACAAGGCCCCGAGGACAGATTAAATTAAGTTATAAGGACAGAGCATAACACACAAGCAACCTGATGAAATTATCAAAACACTTTTACACATTTGTAGTGAATTATTTGGGGAATGGGATAGAAATCTGTGATCGTGTGAAACATGAGTGTAATGTCCAATATGCACGTCCCCTACCCTCGCTCCTGCCACCACTGGGACTATCCTGTAGGAAACAAAATCTATCCTGGTGGTCTACACCATAAAGGCAGGAAAGCCTTGGCTGCTTTTGGTAGCTTGAGGATGCCTGTCACTATGCTAGGAAAAGCTGTACCTGCTGAGACTGAAATGCAATGCTCCCACACCACCAAGCAAAAAGAAATACTAGGTTAAAGACATAGCAGTCAAATTACTTTCTGGCCAGCTGAGTGTTGGCAAAATCTAGACATATATCATAATTCATGATTTCTAGTAACTTGTATTTCTTTAAAAAGAACACAACAAAAATGCCTCTTCTGGTTTCATGAAGATATAATAAGCAAATAACTTCAAATTTCAATTAAGTTGAGAAGCGGAGGTCAGAAGAGGATGACGGCTCCCCTTGGACTGGCCTTACAAGCCGTTATGAGCCATCATGTGGGTGCTGGGAACTGAACCAGGCCCTCTGCAGGAGCAGCCAGTGCTCCTAACTATTGAGCCACCCCTCCAGCTCCACCCTAGCATTCCTTCAAGTAATAATTCTTCCTTTAGGATTTCCAAATCCTCAATTAGCATAGCATTAGGGGTGAGGCATGTAGAGTTTCTTACTAGTCAGTATAACATTCAGACAATGTGTGCACTTGCCACCACATTCTAAGTTGCCCAGGGACAGATTATGACCTATTTGTCTTTTAATCCTGGCAGAATGTCTAGCAGTAAGTATTTATTATTGAACTAAGGAGGATAATGATTCTTTATGAACACTGATTCAGTGATGGAAGTTTTTACGGCTACATTAAAGATAATTTTAAAGCTAGTATTATAAAACCTTATCAAATTTTAATTAGATTTAAATTAAAATGGTTTTAAACATCTGTCCTTTTACCTACTGAATTACATACCTTCTCATGTACTATTTATTTTACATGTAGGGAGGGATTACTTATTGCACGTACTTTGAAAAAGTGATTTAAATTTCAGGATTGTTTACATTTCAAAGTACTTGTATAAACTTTAATTTTCCAGCTTAGCACCCCAAATTTTAAACTACAAAGACCTAGACTTTGCAGTTTTTGAGATTAGGGTTTTCACATTAGGGATACTGAACTTGTGGTAAACTTACAAATAAATCTCAATAGAGATCTCATTGGTGAGACTATAATTCTAACACATCATTCTAGTTACACTGACTCTCAACCTGTGGATCACGACTCCTTCGGGGGTTGTATATCAGATATCCTTCATATCAGATATTTACATTACAATTCATAACACTAGCAAAATTAGTTCCCAAGTGACATAAGTAGCATTTTATAATCTTTACTACAAAGTAAATGCTCTGTGAAGAAATCCTATTCCTTGTTGTTTAATAAATAATGAGGAAATATATACAGGCTCAATATAGATACACTGTTCATCATCTGCAATATTTTCAATTCATAGTTAAACCTGAGATGTAAAATCTGCAGGTTCAGAAATCCCACTGGACTTGATTTAACATAAGCTACGTACAATTACAAGTAGGTATCAAAATGCAGCAAGTTTTAGGACTGAGAGAGTAAACAATTTGCAAACCTGGTATAAAATTCATTTTCCTCCAACCTACCCGAAAATTATCTGGGGAACTCAAGTGAAGCTTCTCCCTAATGTCTTCTGAAGCCCCAGCACACAGCCTGTAAAAAATATGATAATTCCTCTCCTCTTTGCCTTGAACACAGATCCTGGACTTCTCTAAAAGATAATGAGAGACAAATCCTCCAACAACTGAACTCTAAAAGACAAAAGAGAAGATACATTTTTGCATCTATGAAACTGAATTATAACTTAATGTTAACCTAATATTTTCTAATAAACATTTGCTTATCAAAGTTAAAATAGTTATGCAATCCTAGAAAAAATACCTAACATGTAAGCTTTGAGTATGTCTACAGTCCGCCCTTTTTTTAAACACTGTTATCCAGTCACTGCCCTGATCCTTCCTAGCTTTTGAGCCTTTGCAGAACTGGAACTTTGTAGTGCGCCCAGTGTCCGCAGCAGCTCGCAGACAGTTGCTGAGGAGCTCTCAGCTTGCCACCACAAAAAACTGCTGAGAAGACACCAACTGCCATGATGTGATCATTACAGACCACAAAGGTCAACAGATAACAAATCACTGTATATCATGCTGGGCCCCAATACCATGTACATTTTTACATGTTATCAAAAGAATCAAGCATGAGACAAAATAACTGTAAAGGTATGATTGATAATGCAGTCAAATCCAAAATTTTGATTTTAAACTGAATAGAAATTCTGCATAGTCGTAAATACACACAAACAGACAATAATAATAATCTTAGAAAAAATGTACCAATTCCAATTCTAATAAGGCCCTTTACTTACCACAAACACTTCCCAAATGTATCTCAAAGGCAACTTTCATTTACCTTTTCATTGAAATGAATTTCCACAAATTTTCCAAATCGACTGCTATTATTGTTACGAACAGTCTTTGCATTTCCAAAAGCTTCTAGAAGTGGATTAGCTATTGAAAAATGAATGAAAATACTTCGTCAAAAAAAAAAATCACAAAAAAGACATAAAGAAAAAGTATAAAGCAATATACATCTCACATCTCCCCCGTGTGATAAAATTTGGGAAAATGCTGGAATAAATGATTTTGGAAGTATTAAAATGAAAACATTATCAAGTAATGTCAAACGCCACAAGTGTTAAATGTTTATTGACTGGAATGGTTTTACTTTTGCTTGACAAATGGAAAGGATCTAGAGTCATTTAGGGGACAAGCCTCTGGTACAGACGAAGAGAATGAGTTAACAAAGCAACATGATCTATTTATTATACATACAACACAAAGGCAGAATCTGAAAGAAGATGTATAGGAGATGGAAAGACTCATATCTCTGGGAGAAGAGCATTGTAGAACCCAAATAAGATTCTAAGTTAACTTCAGAGGTACCCAACAATAAAAATAAAAATCAACAATACCTTCAACAATTCTATCATCAATATCTTGACCTGTTCCATAAGATTCTGTCAGGTATCTATTTAAAATACAAGATAAAAAAAAATCCTTGAATAACAATAATATTGAGTAACACAAATTTATAAATTTACTATTTAATACATATTGAAATTGAAACATAGATAATCACTGTAGCTGTTCCTAAATTTTATTATATTTTATTTATGTTTCTTTGTGTGTCTTGTGTGTGCATGTGCTTGTCATGTAATTACATTTTTAAGCTGTTGGGAAATATTCTAATTTTAGATTCTTCAAATAGATTTATATAAGTTTCTCTTAATAACTATTTAACTTAATAACTTCATACATTTACATAACAAATAGAAAACTTTCATAAAGGACCCCACCATGAAAAACTGAGAACTGTGATATATTAAAAACAATACTGATGAAACTTCAGAATGTGCTGGTGCTAGCGGTATCTTCACCACTAGATTTAACTTCCTTGGATATGTGTGACATGGATAGCCAACTCACTGGAACCTAGACTCATCTAGAAGGCAGGTGGTGTCTGTGAGGGCCAAGTATCGATGGGGTTAATTGTGGTGGAGTGACCCACCCTGAATATAAGTGACAACATTCCACATACGGGGGTCCTGAAACCCAGAGAGAAAATCTAAAACTACTCCCTCATCCCTCTCTCCTTCCTGACTGGGGGTACAATGTGACCAGCTTCTGCGAACATTCCTTCTCCACTAGGGGGGATTTATACTCTTCAACAGAGAGCCAAGATGAACCCTCCTTTCTTTTTAAGATTTATTTATTAATTGTGTATACAGTGTTCTGCTTGCATATATGCCTGCACAACAGAAGAGGGCACCAGATCTCATTATAGATGATCATGAGCCACCATGTGGTTGCTGGGAATTGAACTCAGGACCTCTGGAAGAGCAGGCAGTGCTCTTAACCTCTGAGCCATCTCTCCAGCCCAAATCCTCCTTTCTTAATTACTTCTCGTCTGAAATTTTGTCAGAGCAGTGAGGCAATTTATGGTATTTAAATTAAGAGAATGAAACTATACTCCTATAATGGTAATGTTCTTTCTGCTTTTAAAATGTTATGTTTGTATATCAGTGTTGAGAGGTTAATTTGATGGTAGAAAAGGGGATCTGATGAGAGAAAGGATATGAGAAAGTCTAAATAAAAAGCATTTTTAAAAATATTTCATAGCACAGACATCAAGAATAGGATGTCCATTTGGATTCTGAAGGAATATTCCTGGGTTTCTTATTACCGAGCCACTACTAACTTCCTGTGGAGTCCTCTAAGGAATGACACATCAGAGCTGCAATGTACAATGTAAAGATTAACCACCTTATAAGATGCTTATTTCTCCCGAACTGTACCATAAGGTATTCAACAGAATGAAAAGTCAATTTGCTTAAATACCCGCCGTCATACGCACACACACACACACACTCAAAACTTCACTTGTCTATTGTGGATAGCCAAGTGGCAGAAACAACCCAATTGCCTATCAGTACATGTACACACAGCAAATGCAATGAACACCTGCAATAAAATTTATTCAGCCCTGAAATTCAGGGAGGGAATTCTAATGCACACCATAACAGGACACATGCTATAACACAGGTGGTTATGTTGTTTTTTTTAAGAGGCAAGGTCTTACTAAATTTTGTAGGTTCCCATCCCCTTGAGACTAAAGTGATCTTCCCTCCCTCAACCTCCCAAGAAGCTGAGTGTGTGTGTGTGTGTGTGTGTGTGCGTGCGCGCATATAGGTACATGACACTATAACCAGTTCAGAGGTGAATTACATATTGAACTAAATGCAATAAGGAAGTCACTGAAATATTAACACTATGATACCACTTGAACAAGGTACTGAGAGAAATTCATAGAAACCCAAAAGAGAACAATGGTTAACAGCATCTGGGGTGTGAAAGGGAGCTATTTAATGAGTACAGGTTCAGGTTTTGTGAGGTGAAAAATATACACAATGACATGATGTGGATGTGAATGTGCTTAACATTACTAAACTTCAAAATGAGAACTTAACAGCGTTAAACTTTTTTCCCATGAAAATAATATCAAACTGCTCAAAAACATTTCACATTAGCTAAATACTCACCTTAGAACAAACTTTGTATTTTCTGTTTTGCCAGCTCCTGATTCTCCAGATACGATAATAGACTGGCTCATCTTGAGCACCTTCATGTCTCGAAAAGCCTTATCAGCTGGGGACAAACACAGTAATATGGCAGATGGAGGTATTGACAGGGGCTTACTGTAGGGGCCTTTACTCCTAAAGAAGTCGCGAACGTGTGTTAAAAAATAAAGTCATTCAAAGGGTTTCTGTACGCATCTACTTGCACTACTCCTAACAGACAAGTAATAGGAAATCCAAACATCTCAAGATTGAGCTAGATTGTCCCACAGTCAGCTTTGGCTCAGCTTACCCTTCTGCAAAGGGACAGAAAAGGCTCAGTGTGCATAACTAATGAGGTCCCCAGTGAAAAACAAGAAGGAATGAGCTTCCAATTAGAAATCTGGGAACTATATCCATTGTGAAGAGAAAAACAACTGAAAAATGAATCTAGAGAATAATTATTTCCAGCTCCAACCACTTACCTGTAAGCTTTATGGTTTCATTTTTAACAGCTGAGTGAGGAAACTGAGACCCAGAAACATAAGCAACACATGTTTTTTTCTCATTAGGGGGTGTTAGTAGTGGTGAATCTTCAGATGTGTATGTCTCATTTGGAAAAACCACAAAGCTCAGAAAATAAGTAAGGGACTATTGGGAAGTGGGGCTTTCAGGAAAGGAAAAATAGGATGCAGTGACATAAAGGGGAATAATGGAGCAAGAAAAGTCAGGCAGGGTTGGAAATGGAAGGGCTTGGGGTAAGAGGGAAAGGAAATTGGAGAGCAAGGTAAAGGAGGAAACATAGGGAAAGACGACTCACATTAAAGACCTTCTAAAACAGTCATGAAAATCTGCTACTGCAGAAGCTTCCTAAATATAAATGTACACATATATAAAAGGAGCTTAAATAAAGTTACCCTCTAATGGGGCCACAATGCCCCTACTAGATACCACAGGCTAACAAATAAAAGGCCCAATGTTAGAAGTATATTAGCTCTATTGAAGTTGTTGGTCAGTGAGGTCCCAGAGAACCATAAATATTTCCTGCAAATTGTCATTGCTCTTGGTTACCATCCAAAACTTGATAGTAAGACCCCTATATGTTACAGGTAGCATATGCTTGAGTCATAAAATATAGAGAAGTCAAGCTGGTACTGACCTAAATGGAAGCTTCATTCCCACTGGCTAGCATCCCTAATGGTGGGAGGGGAAAAAAATCCAATCTTATGCAGGTGTGAACCCTGAAAACTTCAATGACAACGTGCTGTCAAGACATGCCCAGTGGCGCAATAGTGGCACTGATGTCGCAGGAGTAGCCAACTCTACTTTCTGCTTGGACTTAAGGCCCTCTCCATGAGATGAAACCTATGCCTGGCAGGTAGCAGGTCCAAGAACCTGTGGCTGTGCAGATCATAGGGCCTCCTATTACTCTACCAATGAGAGACAATATTAAACCAACTCCTAGCTACTTCTCATTACACCCACAGACTACTGCATCTCTCAAACCTCATCAGAAAATGTTCGTTTAAGACCTATTTATTTTTATTTTATGTGTATTGGTGCTTTGTCTGGATATGTTGAGTATACTACAGTGCCCACAGAAACCAGAAGAGGACATCAAATTCCTCTAGAACTATAGTTTACAGATGGTTGTGAGCTACCATGTGGGCGCTTGGAATCAAACATGAGTCAGCAAGGCTCAACCTACCCCAAGAAGCTTCTTTTGGCATTTGATGGTGATTAACACAGATTCCCACAATTGTTCAAGGTTCAGAAAATAATTTGTTGTGGCATGCTCAGCCCTAAATGGAGCAACTGTATCACAACCCCCTCCTCCCAAGGCTTAAGGATCACTGAAGAAAAGGGGGCAGAAAGATTGTAACAGCAAAGGAGGTGGATGACTATAAGGACATAGTGGCTTGCATACAAAAGGACAGTTGCATACATGAACTCACAGAGGTTGTAGCAGCAATGGAGAGACCTCCACAAGCCAGGCCCAGCATGGAGGGGTAGAGGTGGATATGAGGTTCCACCCCTAGCTGAGGAGCTATTGGTAGTAAATGGTTGCCAGAAGAAGGAGAGTGAGCTTATGAAGAATGTGGCTCTTGTAGGTCTAACATGCTCCAGCAGATGACACATACTAAGAGTAAATAGGCAGCACTAAGAGGACTCGATGAAGTTTTACAAAGAAAGAAGTGAAGACTCAAAGTAGAGTGGGAATGGAATAGGGAGTTAATCTGGAAGAAGATGAGTGAGGGTAATGAATCTGAATAAAATGCTATGTATAAAATCTGAAAGATCTAATAAAATAGTTAAAAACTAAATTTGTGGAATTTTGCTCTGTATTATTAAATTTAAAAATTGTACAGAATTTGTCTATTTGTCATATTTCTAAGACTTAGCTTTAAATCTTCCTGACTTAGCATTATTAAAAATACAGAAATTTCAGCTACTTCTTTACATTACATGGATTAAAGCTGTAATGTCTCAAATGATCAGATAACACAAACTAAGCATAATTAGTTCTGTTAATGTGACTAAACTTAAAACAAAGTCAAAATTAGTTCCCCCAGAGATCGTCACATTGAGCAAAATTAGCCACACTCAAAAAGATAAATATCACATGTTTTCTCTCCTGTGACTTGAAAGCAGAAGGGAGACTAATGGGAAGAGCAGCAAGAAAGAAGAGAGGGAAAACAGAGGGTAAAGAGAATATGAACAAAGAAAACAGTTCAAAGAATCAATGAAATCAAGAGCTGGTTCTTGAAGAAAATCTACAAGATAGACAAACCCTTAGCCAAACTAACTAAAAGGCAGAGAGAAACTATTCAAATCAGCAAAATCAGAAATAAAAAGGGGGACATATTGACAGATACTAAGGAAAACAATCATTAGGTCTTACTACAAAAAGCCTGTATGCCACAAAATTTGAAAATCTAAATGAAATGGACAATTTTCTTAATAGATTCCATTTAGCAAAATTAAATCAATCATGTAAATAGATCAAATAGTCTCATATCCCCTAAGGAAATAGAAGCAGTCATCAAAAGTCTCCTGGCCAAAAAAAAATCCCAGGGCCAAATGGTTTCAGTGCAGAATTCTACCAGACCTTCAAAGAAGAGCTAACTCTAATTCTCTTCAAACTATTCCACAAAATAGAAACAGAAGTAACATTACCAAACTCATTCTATGAAGCCACAGTCACCTTGATATCTAAACCACACAAAGACCCAATAAAAAAAGGAGAACTTCAGACCTATCTCTCTTATGAACATTGATGCAAAAATACTCAATAAAATACTTGCAAACCAAATCCAAAGATACATAAAAGATATTATCATGGCCAAGTAGGCTTCATCCCAGGCATGCAGGAGTGGTTCAATATAAGGAAATCCATCAATGTAATCCACCATATAAACAAACTGATCATCTCCTTAGATGCCAAAAAAGCATTTGACAAAATCCAACACAGATTCATGTTTAAAGTCTTGGAGAGATCAGGGATACAAGGCGCATACCTAAACATAATAAAGACAACACACAGCAAGCCTATAGCCAACATCAAACTAAACGGAGAGAAACTTGAATCAGTCTCACCGAAATCAGGGACAAGGCAAGGCTGCCCACTCTCTCCATCTCTGTTCAACATAGTACTTGAAGTCCTAGCTAGAGCAATAAGACAACTAAAGGAGATCAAGAGGAAACAAATTGGAAAATAAGTCAAAAGTATCACTATTCATTGATGATATAATAGTATACATGAGTGACCCCAAAAAATCAACCAGAGAATTCTTTCAGCTGACAAACACCTTCAGCAAAGTGGCTGGATACAAAATTCACTCAAAAAAAAAAATTAGTAGCCCTCCTATATACGAAAGACAAAAGGGCTGAGGAAAAAATTAGGGAAACTACACCCTTCACAATAGCCACAAATAACAAAGTACCTTCGTGAGACTCTAACCAAGCAAGTGAAAAAAAAACTTCAAGTGTCTGAAGAAAGAAACTGAAGAAGATCTCAGAAGATGGGAAGATCTCCCGTGCTCATGGATTGGCAGGATTAACATAGTGAAAATGGCCATCCTGCCAAAAGCAATATCAGATTCAATGCAATTCCCATCAAATTACCAACACAATTCTTTACAGACTTTGAAAAAACAATTCTCAATTTCATATGGAAAAATAAAAACCCAGAATTGCTAAAGTAATTCTGTACAACAACAGATTTTTGGATTTGCATCCCTGATCTCAAGCTGTACTACAAAGCAATAGTAATAAAAACTGCATGGTACTAGCATAGAAACAGAGTAATGGATCAATGGAATTGAATAGAAGACCCAGAAATAAATTCACACACTTATGGCTACTTGGTTTTTGACAAAGATGTCAAAACCATACAATTGAAAAAAGATAACATCTTCAACAAATGGTGCTGGTCTAACTGGATGTCTACATGCAGAAAAAATACAAATAGATCCATATTTATCATCTTGCACAAAACTAAAGTCCAACTGGATCAAAGACCTCAACATAAAACCAGACACTAAATCCAACCATGCATGGAGATAACCTAGAACCCCTGCACAGATGTAGCCCATGGCAGCTCAGTATCCAAGTGGGTTCCCTACGAAGGGGAACAGGGGCTGTCTCTGACATGAACTCAGTGGCTCGCTCTTTAATCACCTCTCCCTTATCGGGAAGCAGCCTTACTCCACAGAGGAAGACAATGCAGCCAGTGTTGATGAGACCTGATAGGCTAGGGTTAGATGGAAGGGGAGAAGGACCTCTCCTATCAGTGGATTGGAGGAGAGTCAAGGGAGAATAGGGAGGGCAGGTGGGAGATGATGAGGGAGGGGGCTACAGCTGGGATACAAAGTGAATAAATTGTAATTAATAAAAAATAAATTAATAAAATTTATGGCAAAAAAGGAGAGAATATGAGAAAAATACATGATGTAATTTCCTCTGAAAGTGTCATCATAAGCTCATTTTTGCAAAATGAACATCCAAAAAAGAGTTCCAAAGCAATCTGGCTCGAAGAGATAATTATTTCTCATCCCAAACATGTGCTACCCATAAGAACAAAAATAGCTTTACAAATGGCTTTTACTCTACGAGCAAGCTACAAGCAGTATTGCGTGGGTATTCCACAGTGACTGAAGCGTCTGCCTACCAAGCGGTGCTGCTGAAAGGAAGAGAACCTTTGGGAAGGAGGACCCCTAGAAGGTCACTGGAGACATACTATGAAGAGGTGGTTTCTCACCTACTCCTTGAGTTCTCACAAGAGGCTTGTTATTAAGAAAAAAAAGCAAGCCTGGGACCTCCAACTGTATTTAGAAAACATTGTGTCCTTACAGTCAGCCAGCACCTCTGCTCTTACAGCCTTTCTGTGCTCTGATCTCTGAGCCTCTACTTCTGGTTGGTGTTCCTGTGGCCATTGCTCTGCGCTATGAGGAGGTGGAGCCAAGAGGTGGTCCGTACCACTGAGTCTGTGCCATGCTGTGGATTTTGAACTTCCCAGATTTTGAGCTAAGTAACCAGTTTCTTGATGGAGAAATAATTCAGCTGTGACACAAGACTGACAAATAGCACCATAAGCAGCACACAGTTCGCACTGTCCCATCTCCAGAAGTCTTCCTACACCTTCCCTCATATCGCCGTTCTAAACACCTTGCAAATGGAAAGGCTAAAAATAAAAGCTTGTTCATTTTCATTTTTAAACATTTAGGTTTTCTCCAGAGACAAGCCTCGTGATGTTCAGGTTTAATGACTGTGCACTTTGTAGGCTGATAAGAGAACACACAAATGGTCATCAGCGCATCTGAGAACCGTGAGTCAGTAGGGTGTTGCACTGCTTCAGGCTAGCATGTTTATTCCGCCTTATAAGCAATAACCAAGTCTAGAAGTGAAGCCTAGTTACGCCAAAACACATGCACCGGGGAAAGTCCAAGGAGAAACAGACCACACAAGAAACAGTACCAAAATAGGATGCCCAGCTGCTGCTATGTCTGAATACAACGGCTTAGCCAACACATCTGAATTTGTCAGCAGAAACGTGGACTGTAAGCTCTAATGCTGACCGGTTACTCCAGCCCTCTGCACCTCAGAAGTGAGGTCTTCAGGATGAGGAGCTGAGAAAGTCACGATGGACACTACTGCCTTCCCATTTAGGTTCCTCATGGATAAGAAACATCTACCACTTGAAATACTGTAATGTGCAAGACCATGGAGGGAAGAAACTTGAGTCTTGCCAGGTGGTAGTGGCACAGGCCTTTAATCCCAGCACTCAAGAGGCAGAGGCAGGAGGATCTCTGCATTCAAGGCCAGTGTGGTCTACCGAGTGAGTTCCAGCACAGCCGAGGCTACACAAAGAAACCCTGGCTAAAAATAAAAATAAAAAATAAAAAACAATTCCAATTTGACCAAGTAAGATATTTACAAGTGATGCCCGAAATTATACAGAGGAAGCCTCGTCCCAGAGTTGTAAAAGAGACCACCTTTGAGATGGAGTTGATCATAAGAGTAGTGAAGTTTTGGTGCCTTTAAAAACTCAGTTATGCTATGTAAACATGTTTTTGTTGTAATCCCAGGTGTGGGAAATGAGGCTGCTTCAGATTTTCCACAACAGAAGACTATTTGCCTCGTGTGGGCTTGAGAAGGGTGTGATCTTTGACAGCGGCTGATAGTTTCATTCAGGAGACTCTGAGAAGAAATAAATGCTAGAGCCCAGGAAAGGACAGGGCACTTGAAGGAAGAAGAAGGCTGCTAGCAGCTCCCCCCTGCTGCTCTGGGTTGTTGTTGCAGTTTGATGAAACCTTGGACATATCCTAACTACAAAGATCAGACTTGCCCCAAGGAACCCATCAACCCTAACCAGCAGGAAGTAGCCTAAGAGACCTATGCTCCCTCTCCCCACTAACCTTTCTCTCCTACCTGGTGTTGGGGTGTTGGAAGAGACTGGAGTGGAAAAAGGAGATAGAGATATAAGAACCCAAATAAAATCAATTTTTAAAAGGCTCCTACAATAAGGATTGAAAATACCATTAGAGCCAGACAGACATGGTGACACACACTGGCAATCCCAGCATTCAGAAGGTAGAGACAGGAAGATCAGAAGTTCAAAACCTGACTCAACTCGTGATGTGCTCAAAGTTAGCCTGCTGTATTTGAGTCTCTCTCTCACTCGATCACTCACTCAAAAAGTACTCTTAAGCATCTTTTATTAAACTGCTTTCAGTGGGGCAGGCACACCTCAAAAGGGCACCGGCATTTGATAAATAATAATGCATGACTGGTCCATGAGTTAGCTACGAAGTATTCAGGCCCTCCCTGTGTGTGACACAAGCTCCTAACAAAATGAATAAACCCAAGAGGCATACAGGTCTTGCAAAATGCAGGTTCAGTGAATGATATCTTTTATTAAATAAAGTAACTAAGAGAACAACATTTGCAACCTGGCACCTGAAGGACTGGCTAGGCGTGGGACCAGCACCTGTGGCCTGACCCGCGAAGGACTGCCCAGGTATGCCAGGCAGCTGAGAGAGAGCCTGAGAGGAAATACTGCCTCAACACCAGGGAGACTGCACTCAAACTCTACCCTCACCCAGCTCTCTCCCCTCTATGTGTCCTTTCTCTTCATTTAATATCCACTGTCAGTCTAGAAAGGCACCTCTGTTCTCCTGTCTTATCTTCCCCGTGTCTTTTTTTCTCCCTCTCCCCTTCTCATCTCTTGTTTTATAGTATCTCTTCTTTCCTTTCTTTGCTTTCCCACAGACCATAGGCTAGCCTAGTGTGTGGGTCTCCATATCTCAGTCTTCTTAGGCCTGAATTCTTTTAGGTTATTTGATTGGTATACTCCTCTCTCTCTTTTCATTCTACCTGTAGTCCAATCTGCCTTACCCTCACCTTGTACGTATTGTTCTCCCTTCTGTTTATTTTTCCCTCCTCTCTTGTTTCTCTGTCAGCCCAACACAAATCACTAGTCCCACAGAACTTTTTCCTTTCCCTCTCACCCACAGTGGCTATTCAGAATATGGACTTGGAGAGGGGCATGGAAGGAGATGAGGGAGGGAGGGTGGGATTGGAAGGAAATGAAGAAGGAAGCTACAGCTGGGATACAAAGCGAATAAAATGTAATCAGTATACACATTTTTTTTCTTGAATTAAAAAGAACAATTTTTACTGCTAGGTATTTACCCAAGGGACTCCAAGTCAAGAGACCACAGAGGTACTTGCACATCGATATTTTCCACAGCACAGCTCACAATACCTAAGTTTTGGGACCAACCTAGATGTCCAACAACACAGGAATAGATAAGAAAAATATGGTATAGAAAATTTTCCAGCCATAAAAAAATTATGTAATTTACAGAAAAATAGACATAACTAGAGAATATCAAATGGAGCAAACCAAGACAGTGTTGAGTTTTCTCAATGCAGTGCCTAGATTTTATATAGATACATAAAATGACATGTAAGTATTACATGGAAGTAGAGATGAAACTGGACTAGCAAGAGAAGAGCAGAAAAGAAGAGCATCCAAGGGGGTGAGGGAGGAAGCATATGTAGGAAGAACAGTACACACCTGTATGAAAACATCCTTATGTAACACACTACCAGGCACAATAAATATATACGATGAGATCCTTTAAAAAGACTCAAAACAATTTTAAGAATCTAGTAAATTTGGATGATATAATGTCATTCAGGCTCTGCTTTCCCACCTATTACAGCCCATGACCCCAACCAGTGGGATGATCCTGAGAGGGGACGCAGGGGCAGAAACAGCTGAGGGTGAGAGAGACCTCAGGCAGCAGTGAGCGCAGCAAGAAACAGACTTCTCAAGTGGGCAGTTTCAGTGAGACAGCTTGTTGAACTGAGGGAAACAAAGGCTACCTAAACCTTTAGGGGGGTCGGTAGAGGTTTTACATCGCTGGTCAAGGCCAGGGTGCTGGAGAATGCCTCATTTGCAGGAGGAGGAATTCCAGATGCTGCCAGACATGACCTTACAAGGGGAGAGGAAGTTTAACCTGGCCACCAGGATATGTGACCTCCTGGAAAGGGGGGGGCAAAGATGGGGGCACAGAGCTTCCAGTGCGGAGACATACAAGCCCAGGGCAAGGATGAGGTAGTTATCCTACTCCTGCCAACCTTAGGACAAGATTTCTGGGGTTTGGACAAGACAAAAATTAAAACACAACTTACCAATTGCAAAGACATGAGGTGGCATTGTCCCTAGAGATTTTCCTTGATATGACTTTATTGTATCTGAAGAATATATTTTAGGTATATCAAAGTATGGGTTCACTGCAATCAGAATGTTGGCGACATATGTCTAAGTAGTAAAGGCAAAAAAATAAAATTTCTAGTTATTACTTTCCTTCAAAAGTAAACAAGGTAAGCACGAAAAAGTCAATAGAGACCTTTGATTTTCATACAAACAAAACTTCAAAATTGACATTTCTATCTCTAAATTAAATATTCTAAATTAAGTAAATATTAATATTAACAAATTATAAAATTAATATTAATATTCTGAATCTAAATTAAATTTTCCAATTTTACAGAGCCCGCCGTTTCTAAAATTCCAAAGAAATACCTATTTCCACATAAATGTTTTTATACTGTCATTCCACAGTCATTTCAAGATCAACACCTTCAAAATTAAGATTTTAAATTCCACTTCCCTGTGTCTCTTTAAAAAAAAAAAAAAAAAAAGTTCTCTCGGGTACATGGCTTCACCATATCACCACCCACAAAATCTGAGTCTCTAAATCTCCCTCCAGGCTTGTCCCGATGACTCCACTTAGAGTCCCCGAGCCGGGGCCTACAGCTCAGTTCCAGTCACCGATATCTTCAGTCTACTTATCCTGCTCCTAAAGCATCTGAATGACCTTTCTCTGCTTCTGAGCCTCCCCGGTCAGTGAATGCTCAGGAGTGGCATAGCTCTGAAGCAACCACTTGGTGTTGGGAGTTCTTCAACGCACCACATGCTAACCACTAGTGGGTAACTGTCTCATGAGCGCCGTGAATTTCTTTTTAAATTTGAAATTGAATTTGGTTTTTAAAGACCATAGAAATGTACTAGGAGAACTTACAAAACTCCTACATGGGTAGAGAGTTGTAGTTTAGTAAAACTGATAAAACTGAGGTATCCAAGGCTATGCTTTCTCTTTTCAACTGTAGAAGAGAAGTACTGTAAGTATCCTGAGCTGTCAAACTGCACACATGCCCTAAAATTCGTTTGCTACAGAAGAGTGAGTAATGAGAATAGAAGGGCTGAAGAGGTGGCTCAGCACTGGCTGTTCAAATACAGAGCCCAGAATTGGTCTCCCAGCACCCACATGGTGGCTCACCACCATACATAATTCTTTTGTTGTTGTTGTTGTTGTTGTTGTTTTCTTCTGTTGTACAAGACAGGGTTTCTCTGTGTAACAATCCCTGACTGTCTTGGACTCTCTTTGTATGCCGGGATGGTCTCAAACTCACAGAGATCTGCCTGCCTCTGCCCTCTGCCTGGGATTAACGGTGTGTGCCACCAAGCCCAGCACATACATAATTCTAACAGAAGATTTGATACCCTCTTCTGACCTCCACAGGCACTAGTCATACACAGGCTGCACAAATATACGTGCAGACAAAACACACATACACATAAAATAAAAATAAACAAATCTAAAATAAAATAAGGACAAAGGTAAAGGATCAGAGATTTCAGCAACATGAAAATATTAAATAAGGTTCACCTACTATTTCACTCAAATCTAAGGGAGGGTAATGATTCTGTTAAGTACAAAATGTCAAGTTTAAACTATTACTCTAAATTGCTTCCTTAACATAATTATGCATGTATATAAAATAGTAATTGGCACCTTTGTTAAGATTTTATAATAATAATAGATGCAGTTATGGATTACCCACATTCAATGACTTTCTAACTATAGGGCCTAAGTGGCTAAGAGAAAAGAACATACCACTCCTGGCTGCAGGCAACCCTGACAACACTGGTCTTGAGTCCTACTGAGAAAAGGCAGCCTCCAGGGTACATCCATGTTAATTTTCACTGGTTTACTACAAGTTAAACTGTTTCAGCGGACTTTTAAACTTTGTTACTTCACTGTCTAAAACAACACTTAGTAAACATTACAGTTTGTTCAACTGTAAGCTAAAGAATTGAATATATGTTGCCTCTGAAAATATTCCTACCAAAAAAGACCTCTATTCACACGTAAACATATTCTTTCCTTGGTTGAATTCAATGGTAAAATTCAGGAAAGTGAAATCGTAACAGCATGCAAAACCAGGAGGCAGGTAGATTTCTCTGGGACAGACTCCATTAGTTCTGTTTCCCAGCTGTCACTCCTTAGACAGGTGGCAAAGACTAAATGTAATTTAGTCAGAATTAAGTAAGTACAATTAGGCAAACTGATAGTGATATAAAAGATTAAGACTGTCATTTGATCTTGTAAGTGTCAAAGAAGCCATGTGCGTGCTTCGTTCAAAAATAATGAAGGCCCATCTTTATAACAGGGTACCAGAGTATGGTAATCTATCTGCAGCCAACAAAAGAATCTATGACCAGATCATAGCAGAATAAAATCTCATGTGTGTCCAACGAATAATTCTAATTAAAACACTGAAAGCATTGTCTTTCTTTGTGTTTAATGATCTGGACATTTAAGGGCCAGCATCTAAGGGCTAATGAAATCCTAAAGTTATTTAGGTACCATGAAGAGTATCTGATACTTCTCCAGCTATTGCCTTCTATTCTAATTTACATATTCTTCCTCATTTAGTTTATGTTTTTACTTCAATACACACAGGCTGCCTTAAATTCTCTGTGCACTGTAAAAAGTGAAATTAAACAGATCTTAGACTTTTACCAAAAATAACTCAAACTCCAAAACAGTTTTGTTTAAACACTCAAATTGAACCTTTGTACACCTGAAATAGGGTACTTAGTTCTCTGAATTCATTCTCTCATTCTGTGGATTTTAAGTACCCACTGTGTAGTGGACTCATGGGGAGCACTGTGTGGAGAATGCACATTAGAACTCTCATGTCCATCACACTCATATCAATCAGGGCAAAAGCAAACGTGTATGTAAGATACCCACGAGAACTGAAGACATTGGTCAAATACTTACATAGATTCTGTCTTTACTGTACCGAACTTTGACATTATGGAGGAGTGTGGCTTCATTCAAGTACATCAGTGAACCTAAGACAGAGCTTTGAATTAGAGAGTTGAAAAACAAAAGGTACAATAAAACACATTATGCTAACAATAATCACTTTGATCCCAGTTTAAAATTCACTTGTTAGGGTAGATTTAATCCCATGTTTTTAGAACAGAGATACACATAAAACCCCATGGGCTAGTGTAAAGCAAATCTATCTGGGGTACATTGCATTAGTAGAACAGTTAAAATAAATCTTGTTTACATACATCTGCGAGAACTTTAGATGATACATTTCCAGCCACGGGCATTATAAATAATGAGTACCAGTGAGTATGTACAATGCTGAGGACAGGCTTAAACACCAACAATCAATCAAGTGTAAAGAACTACTGTAGATATATATGAGATGCTGATCCAGTCATCCAGTCCAACGCTCAGAGGCTTACAGATAAAACAAAAAGGATACAGTTTTAGACTGGTAAGGGACCATCAGATCATTCAGATAGTCTCTCACAATGACTTATAAGAGAGAAATGGGCCAGGAGACATTATGCACATTTTAATCCAGCATATTTATGAGTCAAGTTCAGAATCAGAGTAGATACCTTGTTTTTCTGTTCTGTTGTGATCCGCCCCAGGTTCTTCCCTATCTAGTCCCTACACACTCCCATCCCCTCTGCTTCATTTCCATTACATGTGGAGCCTCACTCCTCTTACCTACTCTGCTTGCTGTTGGGACCATAATTTTCTCAGTTATCCAAACTGAAAACTGAAGTCAACATCAGAGCCACCTCCTTGTGTCCTCCCACTTGAAGTCAGTTTCCAAGTCTTCACATCACATAAACAAAAGAGCTAGCCTATTGCCAAGTTCATGGTATGTGTACTGATGATAACACAATCTGAGTCCCTGACGCCTCTCCCTCCTTTTTTACACCTACACTGCAGTGAGGTCACACTACCTCTTTTGTGGTTATAGTGACCTCTTATGTGTCTACTGCTTTAATCTCTCTTCTCTCCAATCCAGACAGCAGAGTGGACTGACTAAATTACAGCACTCACTAAATTTCCCTCCATCTCAAAAAACATCGCTGGGGTTCAATCAACTACAAACACTTATCTTAAAATCTATTCAAGGCCCTTAATAAACACATTTTCAAATGGTTGATTTTATAATTTTTATAGCCTGTATTAATGTCTAACTTGTTCATAAACTGAGCTAGTTATCACATCCACAACCTATTCATGTATTATCTCTGCCTACAACATCCTCTCCATCTCTAGATATATAAAAAAGCTATATATCTTTGCAAGTCACTTTCTCAAAAATGATACTTTAATATAGAATACAAACCTATATCAAACTGCTACTTCTCCAACCTCACCACCTCCACAGCTAGTCTCTTCTTTGTAATTTATTTTTTAATATTATTTTTTATTTATTACAATTTATTTACTTTGTATCCCAGCTGTAGCCCCACCCTCATCCCCTCCCAATCCCTTTCTCCATCATCGCCTCCCATACCCCTTCTCCAGTCCTCTGATAGGGGAGGACCTCTTCCCCTTCCATCTGACCCTAGCCTATCAGGTCTCATTAGGACTGTCTTTCATTCTTCCTCTGTGGTCTGGTCAGGCTGCTCAGGGAAAGGTGATCAAAGAGCCAGCCACTGTACTGTAATTTCTATCTGATGCTTTTCACAACTGTCAGGATTAGAAAGCACTCTTCTTCTTCTTCTGGTTTTATTTATTAAACCAAATATTAAGGGCAAGATGCTACACAGTTCACTTGTTTTACATGGCCCCTCACTGAAGATAGTCTGCAGTGCTTGCATCCCTAGTATACACGTCAATGGTGCCTACAAGAGTCTCTTGCTGGACTATCTTGGCAAACGTCTGCAAGTAGACAATGCAGTCAGAGTACTTTCCAAAGGCACAAAGGCTCTCTGATGCCTCTGGAAGCAGAATAAGAGAGTAAGAAGTAGGTTGGGGCTCTTAACAGTTGAGCTGAGGAAAGGCTTGGAAGGACTCAGGCAGAGAGGTCACCTTCATTCTACATCCCTATTCTTCTCCTGCTCCCATCCCCCAGAAGCCTCATCTACACATTGCTGTTTTTTTATTCAAAACATTCTGCTGAGCCTCTCCCCACATCTCACATTCCTCTGAAACACCTGCTTGCACACTAGCATCTGCCTCCTCTAAGTGAGAACTGTGGATACACAGGGCACACACCCTGTCAAAGCCAGGGTGTAACCCTGTACTGACATGTGGATGGCTGCTAACGCTACTCTCTTCACCCAGCCCTTACTCCCCACCTGCCTTCTCAAGGGCATCTGTTCACTCAATCAAATATGACTGTCAGTGGCTGGGGGACCTCCAGTCACACTGCTCAGACATCTCCATTTTCATGAAAAGAATCCGCTGTTTGTCAGAGTGAAAAATGTTAAGTCTCAACCACCTCCCATAGTGGCATGACCCAAGAATGTTCACAAGGTCCAAAAAACAATTCCCTGCCCCACCTAGTTTCACCCCACCCTCTCTCAGTAGCCAGCCCTAGGGTTACTTGACTTGGCTTTTTAACATGCACTACTTCACCTAGATTGCTTACTTTTTATGTCTAAGTATGTATAGATTTAGCTAGAGTCAAAAGAACAACAATATTTTTTGAGACAAAGTCTCACTGTGCAGCTCTGGCTGGCCTGAAACACTATACAGACCAGGCTGGCCTTAAACTCACAAAGATCTGCCAGCTCCACCATCCCAGGAGCTAGGAGTAAAGGTAGGTACTACCAGAACTGGCAACACATTATTATATATTTTTAGTTCGTGTACACATGCATGCATGATGGGAGATGCATGCCATGGCACTGTGTGGGTCAGAGGACTGCTATGTGGAGTTGGTTCCAGTGACAGGGAATTCAGAATGCCAAGCTTGCATTGCAAGCGTCTTTACCAGCTGAGCCATATCACTGGCCCTAATGCTTTAAGTTTATTGTTTGTTGATTTCTTTTTTCTTTTTGGAAGTGTTGGGGATTGAACCATACCTTCATGCATGCTATTCAACAGACTTTTAAAAGTAAGACAGTGTGGAAGTAGAAACCCAATTTATTCCATTGGACATATTTTGGTGATATAAACATATACGGTACCAAAAATGTCTAATGAAGAACACCTGTGACGTCATTAAATTTATGTATTGACTAGAGATAGCTGAGTGTTTCAGACCCTGCATATTGACTACAGCTCTAGTTCAGTGACAGAGAGGGTAAAGGGAACTCACAAATGATGTCAACATCATGGGAGGTGACCTGTGCTAGGTAGACATTGCTGCAGAAGTCCCTGAATCACTGACTGGGGGTCATGGGGCACTTCTAGGAGTCTTTCTAATTCTACTCTCTGTACTTATTCTCACCATCTGGCAGGTGAGTATAATAAGAGAAATATCATATGCAGGAGAATAGTATTTTAAGATCAGCATGAAATTGTGATATTTTCTGTTTAATTACAGTAAACAGTAAGCAAAGGCAACAGCGGTGAAGCACATGGTAGCAAAGGGAACAGGAGAGTTTGAAATATTAACTCAAAAAACAGGATGGAAAATACAAACCTATTGCACTTGGCTACATATGAATATGTCTCAAACAAAACGTGTTAATATAGGAAAAGGATTAGTTGTTGAATTATATACCCTACCAAATTTTTGTTATGTTTATAAATATAGTAGGGAGTGGCAGTGTAAGATACAGCATGTGTAGGAATTAGTTCTGGTTTTCCCTCAGGTGAGTCCTGGGGCTCAAATTCGGGTCCTCAGGCTTCCAGCAAGTGCCAGTACCCACTAAGACATCTCACTGGCATGCCTAGAAAATGTTAACAGAAAGATACTTTCTACTATTTTCAACATGATATAATTTTCTTTCTATTTTGCTTTGATTATTGCTCAAAACTACATTGTTTCATCGGACAAACTATCAACTTGGAAAAGGAAGAAAATATTTCTCAGTCCTCAGACCTACTAATAACAGCTGCTGTGCTCTGCCAAACATCTTTAACGCATCACCGCTAAGCCTTCAACGTGCAGAACTTCTCCTACTTCCCAGATGAGCTTCCCAAGAGAAGAGTGATGTGGTCTGTTCGCACATAAGCTTCCCAACCAAAGTCAGAACCAGAACCCATGACTGTCTCATCCTCAGCCCACAGTGCCCTCATAACTGCACTATTTCCCAACGCCTGTGTTCATATATGGAGTCTTCCAGGTTTATTCAGCTGTACACGCCCAGTGAAAGGCAGTTAAGAATAAACCTATGCCTTTCTCTTATCTTCTTTTCAGTAGAGTATTTAAGGCCAAATACTTCGTTGCAAGATGATGGGACCTTTACGAGGTGGGGACTGGTGGAAGGGCTTAGCTCTCTCTTTGCTTCCTGGCCTCAGCGAAGCAAGCAACTTCCTCGACCACATATTCCTGCCATGATGCACTGCATCTCACTAACAGCACAAATGCAGTGGGGGTCAAATGATCAGAGACTGAAGTTTCCCAACCTATGAGCCAAAACAAACCTTCCCCCCTTTTGAAATTATTTCAGGTATTTTGTTACAGTGATAAACTGCCCAAAACAACTGAAATGTGATTACTTCTTAAAGTCAAAAATGTAAAAATAAATATACCCTGTTCAATGACTATTTTTCACCAAGTATTTTAAGGTGTTTATAAGTCAAATTAATACTATGTTTTAATATTACACTCTGAAATAAACTTTTCAATTACAAATTATTCTGCAGTGTTGTTCTGTTTTGTTTAATGTTGGTTTGCCTTATCCAAAAAGTGATATTAAATGACTCCTGGGGTCAACTTCTAAATTACTATGAATTCACCTCCCACTGTAAGGTTTGGAATGATTTTCGACACAGTAGGAATAGACTTTTAGTTGAAGCTTTACACTAAAGCATCACCCTTCCCACACACATCTAAAATAACAGTAGGAGATAGTCAAGAGATTCTTTCAGGGAAGTACACACAGGATACAGTAACAAACCTAGGCCTTCCAAGCTCCTGGGAGCTCTTGCCACGGCTGTGTGCTCTGACCTAGTCTCTTGTACTATAACCACTAACTCACTTTCTGGAAGAGCAGATAGTTTGCGGGATGCAGAAATAACTTCAAGCTTAATACTTACAGTTATCTTCCACATCCTTTTTACTGTCCTCTTCTGCAGGGAATACTTGGTTTATGAGAGCCAAAAAAGTCTAACAAACAAACAAACAAAAGTTTGAGCATCTGAGGCTTTTAGATCATGAAAAAGACAAGGAGTTCAACTGGCTGCATGCACTGCAGTGATGGCAACAATACATTCTCTATTAGGGTGAAGCGCAGATTCTCCTACTTAACAAAGCACTCATTCAGAAGACAATAACTCTCAGCAAAAACTGCGTCCACTACTACTGTAGACATGAACCAATAACAGAGGTTAACAAATAAAGCATCCCAGGCTTTCACCACCACAGCAGGACAAAATAGCAAACACATTTATCCTAACAAAATAACGAACACACTAATTCTAAATTTCTACTTAGGAGCATGCTAGCTACCAAAGACTAAGAGCATTTTAATGTTTGCATATAAACAATTTTGTTGTTTTGAGAACAGAAACATTCACAGTTACATATAATAAAAACAAAGTATTAATGTTATTTGAGAAATACACTGACATCAATTCCTACACAAAAGTATGTCAAAAATATAAAAATATCTGGTCCATATAATTAAAAGTACCCACAAATAGCAGGGTGTGGTAGTACATCCTGTAATCTTAGCACTTGGTAGGTGCAAACAAGAATTCAAAGTTGATCTTGGCTACATAATGAGTTGAGGCCTGGCAAAGCTACATAAGATCCTGTTTCAAAAAAATAATAATAATAAACCATAAAGAAACTTGCATTCATTTATCACTTAAGATGCTATAAGAGACACTGCAGAATTAAGATAGCATCTTGTAACAGAGAACAAATGATCTCAAATTACATCTAAAGAGAATTAAATTTTAATCCATGCTATCTTAACAGTTATTTATAAATTTATACCTCTAAATAATTACAATTAACTCTTCTGGTTGACATTTCCAACTGTATCAAATTAAACTCTTGAGGGAAAATGGTTTGGTTCCTTTACAATACTGTCTGCAGGGCTGGAAGGTTAGTGCCATAGCAGAGTTTATGCTCAGCCTGTGCAAGGCCCTTGATCTGATCTCCAGTACCAAAAGAAAAAACAATGTTTGTAACTCTATGTATGCAAGAATACTGTATTCAATAAAGTTATCATAGTTTATGAAGTAAAATCCAGGCTTCAAAGACTACTCCAATTCAGAGTCATCAGCAATTTAGTGATCTGAGGCTAGGGCTTAGCGGTAAAGCACTTGTATGAAATAGGTGAGGCCCTTGATTCAGATTCTAGTACCACAAAAGAACAACAAAATCATACCCAACTTAACACATGTTAAAATGTTATAAATGCAGAAGGCTTGGAGGAAAGACCACTGTTTTAAAAGAGAACTTGGATCTACATGAACCAGACAGTGAACATTCCGTAGAAGAAGATAGCCTAAAACAGTCAGTTCAGAACAATGGTTTTGTAGGGAAGCCCATTTTGAAATAGCCGCTAGCACCATAGAACTGTGCACACAGTTGTCACGGTCATATCCACAGAGAGCTTGTTCCTAGCCTAGCAGGAGCTCTAGCCAATGAGAAAGATTCCAGATGAAGAACGAGCACTCCAGTGGAGAAGCGACTGAGTTCCTTAACAGCGACTTAAGGCAAGTCCAGAGGAAGTTTCTCTCCCTCTTCATTCAGCTTCCAAATTAACAACCAGCCTCTATTTTCTCTCCCTTCAAGAAAAAAAGAAGTATTTCATAAAAAATGTTTTTTCCATTTTTTTTTTAACTTTTTCTGTTAGGGAAGTTTTTACCATTACAGAAAGAAAGCAAGGGCCTAGAAAGATGGCTCAGTAGATAAATGCACCTGCCATCAAGCCTGAGGAACTGAGCTTAAGCTCCTACAACCCACCTAGTGAAGAAAGACAGCCACCTCCGACCTTTACACACACACATACCATAAATCTAAAAATAGCTTTTTATAAAAGTAATCCCCTAAGCCTCCCAAAAAATTGGAAATGAAAGTTAGGCTTCAGTTTATAGAATTTAGTGTAGATCTATAAAATTTACATGATGCCGTAATTTCAACTATGCTTCTAGGCTGGTGAAATGGCTCAGCCATGAGGACTGAGATCCTGAACTCAATCCCTGGGATCCACAGGGTAGAAGAAGATAGTCAATTCAGAGTTAGCCTCTGACTTCCATATGTTCTCTTGCTCTCTCTCCCTCTCCCTCTCCCTCTCTCTCTCTCTCTCTCTCTCTTTCTCACACACACACACACACACACACACACGCACACACATGCATGCAAATACAAATACATATGAACACACAACAAATAAACAAATGTACCCCAAAATAATAAAATTTAACTGTGCTTCTCTTGGTTCTATATATGTACCTGATTAACAATAATATGATATAGTTCAGAACACACTGAACGATGTAAAATATTTCACAAAAGCACATCCCTTAAATTGTTTCTTTTATTTTTGAACTGAATTATTCACAGATGTGACAGACCACAATAGAACAGGCTCAGGAGATGGAGCTCTTGATTCAACCAGCCTTTTACCTGAGCTTATGAAACAAGTTAAGCAAAAGCGTAATGTATTATGTGTAAACTCTCAAAAACCCACTTTTTAGATATGTGCTATACTGTAAGTACACACAGGTCCTGCTAACGAGGGAGGGTCAGAACTTTTGTCTCTTCTTTCCTAAAGGCATCTTAAATTGGCCTCCACTCGCACGGCCCAATATATATTATGCATTCTGGTTCCTGGGTTGTTTACAGTAACAGAACAGCGTTCTCTCTGAAAAGACCTCATGAGAGATCCAACTTGTTTTTCTAAGGTTCCCAGAAGGATGGCAGTCATATGGCATTAGTTAACCATGCATCGGTAGAATGTAAATTATTCATGGACTTTTGCAGAGCCTGAAGTAAACAGAAATTACGTCTGCACATTTAGTCCGAAGAAATGTTTAATGGGCTTATTTGTTAAGCTTAAAACTGTGAGGCTGTGGTACCAAAAAGACCCAGCCACATGAAAAATAGATACATGTCTACAATGGAGGCCACGGCTGTAAGCAAGTCACAGCTCCTGGTCACTTTCCCCCAACTTCTACTAATCAGTCTTGACTAGCCGATGTCTAAGATTTTTTTTAAAGGAAATAAATAATGTGTGTACAGAATGAAAGCATGTGTTACATTATCATAAAAATAATAATGTGTAGGAGGTGTAAGACTCAACTATCTTTACATAAAAGATATTTATCCAAACCCCACACTATGTATGTTTAATAATTAAGTTTAAGTAAACAAAAAGGGGGGAAAGAGGACAAAACAGTTGCTCCCAAGAAGAACCTGACATCACAGCAGCATTCCCATCTTCCACTCTTCCTAAAACACTGACTACATCACAGCTATAGTCACAGTGTGACATATGGAATGAAAATGCTGCCACTGATTGTATTTTATCACACAACTAAGAATGCTGGGTTTCTGATTATCACAGGATCCTATTTTCTCAGAGCACACACTTTCCATTTAATCAAGGAAGTCAACTCGAAACTTCATTTATAATACTAGATATCTGTTTCTTCTAGTATGGCAGGAAAAGTTCTTCATTTTCACCTTTCTTGGGGAAAAACATATATATATATATATGTTTGTGTGTGTGTGTAATGTGTGTGTGTATTTGAAAGAGATCACATCTTAAAATCTCTCTGGGAAACTCACCTTGCCTTTTTGGTTCAAGGGTTCAATTGTTAAGCTGTCAGGGCCAATATCCACAATATTGCCCATCTGAAATCCATCTGTGGGGTGGGGTGCCCAAACGGGCTTTCCATCTTCCATTTTGAAGGTTGTCCACTATCTCCTGTTCAAAGGAACAAATAAAGCAACATGAGTAACAGTGGAAATGATTTTAAAATGTGTCTCCTTTACACATGCACATTTAAGTCTCAAGTTATAAAAACACCTGCTACCGGTGACCTCCGACTTTTCCCTCCCATCCTGCTACCTCTTGCCCCTCTATCTACCCTAGGTAAGGAAGGCAGGGGCTGCTCCACCCTCAGGGAAGTCCTGTGACCCAGCTCTTCCTTCAGTTCAGGAACAGAATCGCTCACAGTCTACATCTGTCCTCTTGTCCTCCGAAGGTGATTTAGAATATTACGTCAAAGAATCTAAGCTGCTCAATGGTCTTGTAGGAATAGATATTTATGGTACATAGACAGAAAGAGCAGTCATTCTGGACCTGAAGGGATGAGGGGTGGAAGGGCTCCTGTGGGTGCCCTGAGTCTGAGACAGAGGCATGTACTCCCCAGGTTCATTCCCACGCAACTGTTCAGCGTGTTTTGATTTTCTTAGTTTGCTGCTCATCTGAAACTCACAGCAAAGTGAACAAATCTAAGTATGTAAGTTAATGAGCTGGGACAGATGAATGCACCATCTAAGAAGCATCCTCCTCGGTTCACAGAGCATCTCTGTCCCCCTGCGGTTCCCACGCCTCCCTTGGCTCGGGCATCATCCCCCACTGTCCTCAGTTTCTGCCTGTTCTTGAACTTTATATAAATGAGATCATAGTCTACATTCTTTGGTGTCTGGCTGCCTTGATTTAGAAAGCATTTTTCATACGTAGCACAGTCAAGCACACTGCTGTGTGTGGGTCTACTGAACAATGCACTGTTTACCTGCTATGTTAGATTGGAATGGTTTCCAGGTAGGGCCCACTGGGGACATCCCATTTTCAACTGTTCCCATGAGCCTTCTTTCACTCTTGGCATTCCGAGAAGTTAATATTTGTAAGTCTGTCTCCTGAGTGACCCAAGGGCACAAGCTACCCAAAACGCTTTGTTGAAAGAAGTGTCTATGTTATAAGACTAATGTAGGATTCAGTCTGCCAGCTGATAAAAGTAGAACATCTGTTCTACTTTCAGTATCTCAATGGGCACCTAATTCTTTCACTATTCACCTAGATCTAAAGAGCAGGTGGCTGATGTGCCATGATGTTCATGTTGTGTGCCTGAGAACTCCACCAAAGATCCCCTTGTGGACTCTTCGATGTCGCTTATCGTGAGAGTCACACCAAAAAGCATAGTCCAGTTGAAAGCTGCTATTGGCATCTTGCAGTGTGCCTGATGGTTAATCTTGCCTATGCAGTGGCTACAGGAAGAGCTCCCTTCTCTACGTAGGAAAAGCTACTGCATTTGAATGTAATCCCAAGTTAACAAATGAGGTGAAGATTCTCCATAGAAGGTGAAGCAGTAACAGTGCTTCTGGCTTCTGCTGCCACATATGCAGGCCTGCTTTCCCTAGACTCTGGCAGCCACTCCCATGGCTTCATGTGCCATTTGTATGTGAGTGATACTCCAACTCCTCTCACCATCCCAGATCCCCTCAGAATTCTCAGATGTTTACCAGCCTCCTGGAACCTGATGAAACTAACAGATACATTACTGTTATCGTTACTCTGGTCTGCATCCCTCCTCGTTCTTCCCCTCATTAGTAAAGGCAACACTGCGCAATCCGAATCACACCTGGAGGCATCCTCAGTTCCTCTGGCTCCTTACAAGATCTTATCACACTCCTTAATTTTATCACCTCTCCATCCCATAGACATCTCATATCCGCCCACTCTTCGACATCTCCTCCATTACCTTAGTCCAAACTAACACTGCTTGACCAAGGCTGCTGCAGTACCCTTCTGTACCTGCTTCTACTCTTGTCAATCCCCAGATCCGCTCTAGTCCTAGTGTATACATCTCATTGCGCCACTGCAATCCCATCAGGGCCCAGACCACTTACTGCTCCTAAGACCTAGTATACACAACCTGACGGTCGCTGGTGCTGGAATGAACCTCATGCCATCTGGGAGAGTAAATGGAGATGGGAGACGAGAAAGAGTTGAGTTCTCTTCAAACCACGGCTTGAAACTCTGACTGCCCTCAGCAAGCTGCCTCCCTGATGGTATCTTTCCCCTTATCTCCGCGGTGGGCTCGTATCCTTTACCTTACAGAGTTGCGGTGCGGATTAAGTGACATAAAACTGAGATAGCACCATTCTAAGAGAGGATAGTCACACCTCTGCCCCTCCCCCGCACATCCTTTCATTGTAACCATTAGTAAGTTGAAGGCAATGTTCTACACACAAAGACAGATTGCACAGTGGACACTAGTGATCATTAAGGAATAATTATGCTTTAAAAAAAATTCTGAACACATCAAAGTCACACAGCAAAGCACAACCCTGCAAATCCAAAAACAAAATGGCAAATTGAACTATTTAAATTGTTTTTTCAATCTAAACCATATACTGCAACTTTGCAGGGAAGATGGAAAAGTTCAAGGCACATAGCTAACCTCCCTTCTTCATCACAGCCCTAAATCACCAGTGAAGTGATTCTCAGAAAATCGTTCAGGGCTGGTGAGATGGCTGAGTAAGGAAAGGTGCTTCCTACCAACGCTGGTAACAGAGTTCAACTCCCAGACCCGACACGTGGAAGAAGGTGAGACCTGAATTTCGAAAACTGTCCTCTGACCTCCACATACAGGCACATGTATTATGGAGCGTGTGTGCACACACACACACACGCATAAAGAGAAAGAGAATAAAAAAATAATTAAACATATCATAAATAAATAAATGAATAAATAAATAAATAAGTGGATGTAAAATTAAAAATCTTTCAGGAAACCCTTCCTGACAACCCTCACTCTTAATAAGCATGTTACATGTTACATATGCAAAACAACTTAAGGTATGGTGAACCAGGCCAAATGGCTCACAACTACAATCCCAGCACCACAAGTTCAAATCCAGCCTGGACTACATAATGAGACCTTTCTTAATAGAATAAAAAAAAAAAAAAAAAAAAAAAATTAAAAAGACTAAAAAGTGACCCATTAAAAGGCAGCCTCAATGCCTCAATTCCCAGTGCTACCACACTAGGTGCCTTAGGCTCCATGGAAGGCTGGCTGCAGAAGCACTGAGTGGAAAAGAAGTCAGTGAGCCTTGCTGGGGTTCGTTCTACAAATTTAAAGCTGTCAGCATTCCTAAAGTCACTGGCAGACACCATCATTATCTGAAAACTACCTCATTTTCACTGCTCATCTGACAACTGTTGGTTATTATTTATTTCCGTAGGCCATGCTGGGATCAAGCTCAGGGCCTCATACCCCTAGGCAAACGTGTCCGGGTGTCCCCCCTCCCCCCCCACCCCGTGCAGCTGTGCTGCGCTTGGTCAGTAAGCACTCCAGGGAGCCCTAGAAGCACCGGAAGCACTGAGACACGTGCAGGGGCCGCTCCCGGCCTTTCCAGGGGCCTTCGCCTGGTGTTGAAAGGTATAAAGGGCATCGCCAGGAGCGGGAGCGATAAACATGAGTAAGTCCACATTCTTTGTCCTCTGGACCGGTGATGACTCCAACAGTGTCCACGTGCCGTGTGCAGCGTGGGCAGGTTCATTTACAACATGTGAGACACTTACCTGCGTGTCACCAGCACCTTCAAAGCAATCCCTAAGAGTCGAGTTGTGAGGGACAACAAGGCCTTGTGCTTTCTTAGCTAGACACTACAAATTAAGCACAGCTAGCAGTACTTTGAGGTTGGGCTCAAAGAACTAAAAAGTAACTAAAAAAGAAGAAAGATGAAGGAGAACAGAAAGAAATCCCTAGGGCTGCATATACTGTCTTTTTCTGTTTCTTTAAGCACCTACTATGTGTCACAGATAATTAGGTGCTCAGAACAGAACAGTGAACAAAGACAACGATGTCTAGCCTCAGAAGTTGCTGACTAACAGGAGAATGATTAGTGAGAAAGAAGGATTAAAAAAAAATGGAGGATGTGAAACCCCTGTGATGGCCGACCTTAGAGGGGGGACGAGAAGGCAAGAGAGAGGTATCAAATTTGCCATTTGAAGAGATTGCTCTTCTATCTTGCAGCCCCTGGCATGAGCCTTTGGCACACAGCTTTCCACTGGCAGCTTCTCCCACCTGTATCAGTGTACCCCAGGGCTATTGGCTTCCTAGTGCCCAGACGATGTGAGAGAGCTGGGCACTGGCTAACAGCTGGCCATGGTTGATGCATGTGGCATGCGCCTAACACTATCTTCCACCAGGCATTTCTGTCCCACAAGAGATTATTTTTACACCAAAACTTCATACAATTTTTAGCAAGATTCCCTTTATTATCAAACACACCTCTGAAAATGGCTTCCTAAAAAAACACTTTTAGGTTATTCTTCTTTAGTTAGTTATGGAAATATGGGTATTATTTTATTACTATCATATAGTATCATGCATTAATTAAACATTAATATTGACATTTACTGCAAACACATTAGTTTTCTAAAAAATAAACAGTAATTATAGATAGAAAATACTACTAAATATAAATTAAAAACAAAGAAAAAAGAAAACAGCTCAAGATTAACAAACTCTAAAAATGACATCAACTGAAGAAAGAATTTGAACTCATACTCACTTCATATTTTGCACAGATATTTATTAAATACCTACTGTGCATGAGCCACTTTTTAGGTTTAGATTATGATGGAAAAATATAGGGGTCAACTGTTTTTCAGTGTAGGACATAAAAAAAGAGATCTAGAATACCCTTCTTGAAGACCTGGCTAACAGCAGTACATACTAGCCCTGACGACTGGTCATTGAAACTCTGTTGAGCATCACTTAATGTCTAAAGTTAAGTCCTTGACTGCTTCATGAATACAGCTAGTGACCAAGGCTAACTGACACTATTAGAAAAATCACTACCAACACTATACAAGTTAAGTTGTTAAGATTGGTCATATGCTTTTCTTTTTACAGATTTTCAAAGATCATAAATCATGTTTTAGATATAAACTCCTGCATGAATTGCTATCTCAAAACAGGCTTGAAATCAGATACGCAACAAAATTCTCTCATAATTCACAAGACGAAGATGTTTTTAAACTCTACTAACTTGAGTGTGAGTATGGGTATGCATGCACACATCTGAGAAAAACAGGAAGTAAAATAGCTTTCTCCTCACAAATGGTATTCAGCTAATTAAAGAAAACCAAATTACACGCATCACACACCCTCGACCAAACCCTAGACATTACATTAGGATACCTTGAACATTCTTTTAACTCTTTTTCATATAACACATTTGGATGATGCTTTTCCTCTCTCTCAACTCCTCTCAGACCCTGTCCACTTCCCTACGCACTCCACAGCATGCTCTTTCTCTTGCTGTCAGTATGAATAAGATGAAAAAATGCCAAAACAAAAGTACACACATACTATAGACAGACAGACAGATAGATATTCCCACACCCCCCTTTTAGTGATGGAATTTTGCCTGACTTGAAATCTGTGTAGATCTTGTGGGTCCTGCCAGTTTCTGTGTGCATTAGTCCTATTGTATCCAGAAGACAGTATTTCCTTGGAGTCACTCAACACCTCTGGCTCATACAGTGCTTGTGCCTCTTCTTCTGAAGAGATCCCTGAGCCTTGAGGGATTTGATGAAGACATTCCATTTATGGCTGAGTGCTTTAAACTCTCTCGGTCTCTGCACATTTTCCAGTGTGAGTCTCTATCTGTTAGTTCCAATTTACTACAAGAAGTTTTTGCTGATGAGAGTTGAGCACTGATTTACAGGTATAGCAATATGTCATTAGGAATCATATCATTGCTGTGTTCCTTTAGCAGAATAATAGTACTAGGTTTTCCCCGAGGCCCATGACCTCTCTAGTCTCAGATTCTTGATCACTTTAGCAGTGTCAGATATGGATTTTGTCTAAAGGTGGCGCCTTCGATCCAGTCTGAAAGTAGTTGGCTGCTCCCGTAACATTTGTGCCACCATTGCACCGGTCTATCTTCAAGGCAGCTCAGTGTTGCAGGTCACAAGGTTTGTAACTGAGTGACGCTGATGATTACCTTTCTCCTCCTGTAGCATCCAAAGTGCCCTCCAGAACAATAAATGCAAGTCAGTGTGGACAACGTGAATGTTTTATCTCACAACTATTAAATCTCTGCCAAGTGGCTATTACCCCTTTTTATAAGAAATTAGGTGCTTGCTTCAGCAGCACATATTCTAAAACTGGGATAATACGGAGAAGATTAGCACGGCTCCTGTGCAAGGATGACATGCAAATTCATGAAGCAGTCCATATTTTTGGTGATACTTGATAGTCTGGGGTCAGTTAGAAGGGGAGGAGGTCCTCCCCTATCAGTGGACTAGGGAAGAGGCATGCATTGGGGGAGAAGAGGGAAGGTGGGTGGGACTGGAAGAGAAGATAAGGGAGGGGGCTACAGGCAGGATACAAGGTGAATAAATTGTAATAAATAAATAAATAGATAAATAAATAAATGCTCTCAAAAAAAAAAGAAAGAAATTGATATTTAGAGCGTTAGGCCATTTGTCAAAACTGAGATAACTAACAAAGATATGCAGAAAGGACCCCTGAATACTGAGTGACCATCCTAGTTTGCTTCCTGTTCTGTGATTAAATACTCTGACCCAGTACAGCTTGGGGAGAACAGGGTTTATTTGACTTCAGGTCACAATCCATCATTGAGAGGCAGGAATTCAAGCAGTAACAGAGGCAGGAACCATGGAGAATGCTGCTTGTTGGCTGGCTAGTTCTCAGTCAGCTTTTTTTTCTTTATTATTATTATTTATTATAATTTATAATACATATATTATATGTATCCCAGTTGTATCACGCTCCCTCATCTCGTCCCAGTCCCACTCCCCACTTTCTCTTTCCCACCCCATGTCCTTCCCCTAGTCCTCTGATAGGGGAGGTCCTCCTCTACTCTCTGGCCCTAGCCTATCAGGTCTTATCAGGACTGTCTGGACCCACACAGAAAGAGGATCCAGTCGGTCAGCATTCTTATACAACCTAGAACCGCCTAGTATGCCCAGGCGTGATACTGCCCACAGTGGTCTGAGCGCCTCCTATATCAGTTAGCAATTAAGACAATGTCTCACAGACTTGCCTATGCGCCAGACTGAATGAGACAATTCTTCAGTTGAGGCTCCTTCTTCTCAAGTGACTCTAGATTTGTCAAGATGACAGCTGACAGTGACCCAAATCCATTTCCTAATCATTGCACTACATGGCTTTGCTTCAGGGAATTTCTTGTTTGTGTCAGTGGTTAATGTCACTAGCTTGAAAAAGATTTGTTTATGTCATACAACACTGTTCCCTAGTTTAATGTCATAACAATAAAAAATATATTCAACAAGTACTAAGTCAGGAAACAATGATCTGCCTGTGAAAGCCCAGGAAGGCTCCTCATGTCAAGTTCCAATCCTCGGAGTTTCTCCTCACTCCCGCCTACACTAGCTCTGGAAGGTTAATGCTAGCTAAAGTCTGTCTCTTATTGATTTACTGCACACTAAAGTTAACAGGAACACAGACGCCTCTCCTCCTGAGCAGAACTTGGTCCCAAGTTATGGAAGAAGGTAACACCTGGAAGTATGATGCCAGAAACTCTAACACAACAAGACTCAAGCCTCTGTTGCCAACACAGAAGCTGAGCGTGTGTATCTTGTTTAGACGGGTGGACAGCAACACTCACTGACGTAAGTAAGCAAGGGGGGATGTGTGCGGCTCACACTCCAGAGCCCTCCATTAGGACCAATGGACAAGCAAGGCAGCCCACCTGTCAGGAACACCAACACCTTCCCCTGAAAATCGCTATAAAGCATTCTCTTTGGGGGCAAAGGGCAAGATGGCCAGTGGAAGACAAGAGCCTGCTTTCTTCCAGCAGTGAACTTGTCAACACGGCTTTCTTTCAGTCACTCTACTTTGGATTCATTGACTCCTTTGGGTGGCAGTGGTTACACTTGGTTTTTTCCTCTATTCTTACATCACAGTCAACACAAAAGACTCCTGTGCCCTAAAAAGGTGCAGAGGCTTCACACTACTAGCCAGAAAGGCTATCAGTTCTGTAACAGTGGACTCCTACTAGAAACCCAAGAGCTCCATTCACTTCTGGACCTGCCTGCCTAGAGTTACATCACACAGCATGGACATTTTAGATGCCATTTGCCCTAGATTGTTTAGATGGTGCTTCCAACATTCCGGCTGTCAACCAGAGTTCCCAAAACACCCTCAAGCACAATTATTTGCTCAAGCAAGCTCACATAACCCAGTGGAGCACTGATTTACACACAAAGGCTTATAAAATATATTAAAGGGAGCTGAGGAGATAGCTCGGAGGGTAAAGTGCCTTCTGCTCAAGGATGACCTGAGTTTGGATTCCCAGTACCCATAGAAAAGCTTGCTGTGGCAGTTCACAAGTGGAACCCCAGCTCTGGGGTAGGAGGTTGAGAGAAGTAGGCAGATCCCTGGAGCTCACTGGTTGGTCAGCCTTGCCAAACTGGACAGTCCCAGAGCAATGACATAGTTTGTCACTAACCAATCAATCAATTAAAAGTAGAAGTGAACATGATAGAAGAAGACACCTGGTGTTGACCTCTGACCACCACGTGAACACAAACGGACATGCACACCTATACCACAGTCAGACAGGCAGAGAGTAGGAATCCAGATAAAATGATGCATCAGGTGGGCTTTTATGGAGACTCAAAGTCAGCATGACTGCAGCAAGACAGTCAGTCAAAACATAAATAGCCTAATGTGACCCAAAGCTAACAGACTAGCTGGAGAAACTCAGCAGGGCCAGCCCTCTGCCGCATTCACCCTGGCCTCTGGTGCAGCATTCCCCCTTGCAGGATACAGGGCAGGACATCCTGGAGCGAGGAGGATCTTACCACTGTATAGCAGAGTAAGCCAGAGAAACTCTCCTTAGTCAGATCTAAGGCAAAAAGACTATGGAAGATCAGAGTCTCTATTACCTGCCTTGAAGAAGAGAAATTCTAGCTCCCACAGCCTACATAAAATCCACAACACACACAGCGTATAAGTGCATGTATCATGAATGTGCATTATATATGTCCTGTGTCATAGAATCACAAATACGCTCAGATACTGTACAAAATGAGAAACTTAAACTATTTTCAAATTTCTATTTAGAAAAAATAGTTCTATTTAGAAGCCATTTTAATTATTTGTAACTATTATGTAACATGTGTTGAAACAATATCTATAAAGCCAGGTTTAAAAATGCAAATCTTCTGGTTTTAAAATAATATATTATTAATGTTATTACATACTTCAATATTAAATATATGTGTGTCCCTATAGTCAAACTTCTCTTCTACTAGTAAAACCAAATCATTCTTTTAGAGGTCATGCTGAGACCCCATCTTCCATTCACTCCACTTATCTTACCCATCCAGTCACAAAGGGAAACCCCAATCAATACCAGTCAATCTCATACAGTCTCATACTCTTTCTTCTCTTTCTCCCTTTTTTTTCCTCCTTTCCTCTCGCCCAACATCATATGGTCAATTTTTCCATATTACTATTGACCTATTCTATAGCTTTCTATAGCACTGTCCTTTTTTCTCATAGCTCAACTTCTCTTAAACCCATTCCTGTCTGACGTACATTTTCAACCCCTCAAGATAACCAATGACTATCGCTAAATCACCATGGTCAAGTGTCAATCTTCAAGTTCATGAATATGAAGCTTTATCTAACACGTTGAATACTCTGCTCCCAAAAGCAGGTTATTTGATTCTTTGGGTTTTAGTCCTACTCTACTTCAACTCTTTTTTTTGTCTTTTTTGGTCAAAAACCTTCCTTCATTCCTTACCTGTGCCTCTGTTTTTGGTCTTCCTGACCTGTTCAAACCAGAAATCATTAGGATTGAATTGTGACTTTTCCTCCATCCACTCTCATTTTCTTGCTTTAAACATCTCATTTGTCCTAAAATCTTGACTCTTCTGACCATTAATGGCAATCTAATAATGCAGTTGGAAAGACCGATCAGCAGTTAAGAGCACTTGCTACTCTCACAGAAGACACAGGTTCCATTCCCAACACCCAAACTCCAGCTCCAGGGAATCCAGTGACCCCTTCTGACCTCTAAGTGCTAATACTTACATTTATAACACATACATAAACTCTTGTACACACATACATACATAAAATAAAAATCATTTTTAACATGTTACTAATGCCCAAGTTTCTAACCAGGACAGAGTCCTCTACTATGAACTAGAGTATACAGACTGCTGTACATCACTATTAGACAACAGCCATCTCTAATCTATGCTACCTTACATCCTGACTTCCTATAGCAACCATCTCTAACCCACCCTACCCTACATCCTGACTCCATTTTCCTTTGAGCCTGTCCTCCTCACACTCCTCCTCTTCCCATAAAATGACAGTTTCACCCTCACAACTGCACATGTCAAAAATGCTGCCATTATCTTTGACCTCCACCTGCACAATCTATGTCCAGTCACTGAGCAAACACTGTTGCCTCTGTTTTCCAATCTGATCTGACTTCATCTCACTCTAACCACTTCCTTCCAGGCCCTAGTGTATATAAACTCACCAAGATTATAAGAATGTTCTCTGTAATGGAAATTTTAGTGTCTTTAAAAACTCAGTTATGTTATGTAAACATGTTTTTATTTTAATCCCAGGTGTAGTCTGCTTTAGATTGTCAAGGTGGCAGTCTATGTGCCTTATGTGAGCTCTGAGAGGGGCATGATCTTTGTCATCTGCAGATAGTTTAATTCTGAGAACTATGGAGAATGAATAAATGCCAGCGCCTGGAGAGAGACAGGGTAGGAGGGAATGGGACCAGACATGACTCCGAGAAAGAAGGCTGCTGCTCCCTACTGCTGTTGATACAGTTTGATGACAAGAAGTTGGAGATATTCTAAAGTGAAGATTGGACTTACCCCAAGGAACTCAAAGACCCTAACCAGCAGAAAGTAGCTGAAGAGAACTACATCCCCTCCCCCTACCTGGTGTTGGAGTGTTGGAAGGTATTGAGGTGGAGAAGGGAGAAAGAGATATAAGAAACCCCAATAAAATAATATAGATTTTAAAATAGGCCTACAGTTCTCACTGGTTTCTCTGCTTCTTCCCTTTCCTATTCACAGACAGCTCTAAGGACATCAATCAATTTGACTCCATCATCACCTGAGTCATGTCACATTTGGGTTTTACACCATCCATAATGCTACTCACATAAAAGCCTCGTTCTGCTGTGCTCCACAGACCTCTCCCACATGACCCCAC